TTACTTCACTCAAACTGGAGCAGCTTACGACGAAAATACTTAATTAAGCAAAATTCCAACAGACGTAAACGCGTTGAGTTATGGGCCAAAAACATGAAATGTTTCGGGAATTTCGGACGCCATTTCCCCCGCGCGACATCCGCAGAAATCCTCGCAGCATGTACGCGCGTGTTCCGCAGGCGATGGCGCAATTTGTTCTAAAAATAGAATTATTGTCCCATATCATGGGGACAACCCCAATACTTGAAATGCCGCGCGCTTACAGTCTCCGTCCCCAATTATGACTCCTGATGTACCTTGATCTTCTCATGAAACTATAAGAGGTCCCCAGCTAGTTGTGGCTACCGTTTGTCACATCCGGTTTGTCACATCCAGGTTTGTAGTGTCACGTGACATTTCCCCAGGGTATCGCAGATGGGACGTTTTTTGGAAGGTAGCGAGTTTTTGTTTTTGCACTTTGGACCGTAGTACCAAACAGTTCTTCAACGTGCCTTGCACGGTTCTTTGGAATTGTACGTTTTATCGTACCCTTTTTGGTACGTTGATATTAAAGACCAGCTTACGGAAGCTACACTAGTCAGTGGTAATATTGTACCGCAAATCTCCTTACAGAGGAGACCACTCAATGAACACAGCGATCAACAAGTGCAATTTCTAGTGCCCTGACAAACACGCTGTCGCCAGTTGCACTACGTTAACCTTCTAGGGTAAAAGACGTGCACCTGCCGTCACTTGAACCGGTTCAGTGTTACAACTGAAAACCAATCCTCTAAAGAGCTTGCCTTGGCGTTTGGGAAATGTCATAACGTGGCTGTATTCAACTTAGCCAAAACATTTTACCTCTTTGCGGCAGCCCATCCATTCATATGAACACGGGATTTTGGTCAAGGGACAATAGTCTTCAATGTGACTTGAGACCTGCAAGACAATGATGACATGAGCACATTTGGTTGACGCTGTTTACAATCACGATTGTTGTACTGCTGTCTGTTGTTGACAGCTTCTTGGCATCTTTTTAACAATAATACTAATTGACAATAACATTGTAAGCTCAAGGTTACTATTTAACAGTTAGATTATTAGCTCGAGATTTCAGTCTGTGCGTGAGGTGATAGTTGATTTGGCTTTCATCCTCATCAACTATCATCTCATAGAAATCTCAAACTTATAATCTAGTATTCTTAATAGAATTCTACCATATATTTTTTTCATATCATTTGCAGTCACTTCTCAAAGTAGTATTAAAATTCATGCTTGCGCACGCGTGTTCATCAGTTCATTAAAAAATTGTGAGATTTTAAAAATTTTTTAATCTTTCCCGAAACATTAGATTCATTCTCTATATTCCAATTGCCCATAATCCACTCTGTTTGGCCCCCAAGTTTTGCATAAACTATTGTTGTGATATGCTCTTGGGAGGTCTGCATATTCCCAAGAGCATTTCACAACAAATGCAGAGTGAATNGGAAAATTGTACGCCGATCGGAGGAGTGTTTCTTTGGAACAACCCCAATGGGATAAACCTGGAAGTTGGGCAAAGGGGGGGGGGGGGGGGGGGGGGCAAACAGAGTGAACTGTGGGCAATTGGAAAATAGAGAATTATGTGGGCGACCTCTAGCTATTGCACAGTAATGGCTGCTAGTTAAAGAGTATCTCAACTAATCAGATTGCAGCATAATAGCAGAATTCTACTAGTTACAAATAAGTTCTTCAACCTTTTAACAGCTTCCGTATAGCAAGCAAACATGTACAGCTCAATGAAACCTTATACACCCCGTCCTAGCTCATATTTCCAGCTTGCATTTCTGTTAGCCTTCTATGAAGAAAGCCATCAGATAGTTCATTAAAATTAATCAAATACTTTTTCAAGGGACGACGGCACGGTGACCTTTACTGTAACATGTAAATAAGTAATCTGGTCCATGAGAGGAACAAAGTGAAACCGTGTTCTCACTTGTTTTGCTACTACGTATTCATGCTTTCAAGCATTTAACGGTGACTTCAACGGGAAAAAAAAGGGTGTTTAATGACACATCTAAGAACGATAATTAATCACAAAGAAAAGGCGAAAAGCAACATTGTTATAATTTCCGAAGACCAAACAAGACCAGACAAGAGGGAGTACTGAGGTGACCCACCGTTTCACGAGGAATCACTTCTTTGCAGTTGTTTGGACACTTCACTGGGTAGCGTACACATGTTTCAAGATGATCCTGCATCTCCTGCAATTAAAACAGAACACCACAAGGCTCGTGAATTTTCCCTACCAAAACATCTGAGATGGGGAGGGGGAAGACGGGGGTGCATGTCGGAAATTTTGAAAAGAACCCGTAAGAGGTACCAAGATCCTGTTTTGTGGGCGTGGCTTGATGTGTTTTTCACGCCTAAGTGGTACCAGTTCTGAAACAGGACTCTTGTCGTAATTTTTTTCACTACCCTTCAGGAGGCAGTCTAGTAAAATTTTGGAGAAATGTTGTAAGCGTCTTTAAAGAAACAGAGCTCTGTAAAAATTTTATAAAAAACGCTAACATTTTCATCAGAGCATCCCCTTAGGAAAATAATGTCAATTACGATGAAGTGGTTAACAAAGTAGAGGATATTACATGGGCGTGCGGAGATACGAAATTTATCTTCAAGTGTTGAAAAATATTTCACGAGTTGGCTGTGCTCACTCGTGAAGTATTTTTCAACACGAAAAGAGAACTTTCGAATCTCCAAACGACCATGCAATTTTCTTTTTATTATATAAAATTTTTAATACATAACGACGTTTTTGGCGATTTTCCGAAGATTTCCGACAACTTTCCAAAGATTTTTGAAGATTTTCCAAAATGTGTCCGAAGGCCAGATGAACGTTTTCGAACATTTACCAAACATTTCCGAAGATGTCCGAAGATTTCCGAAGACAACCGAAAATTGTCGAGGACTTCTGTAGAAGATCCGAAGATGTTTCGATCACTCTCTAACAAATTTAGGTACAGTAAGGGGAAGAAAATGTTATCAAGAATGGTATGGTCACATTTGTGGATAAAAATGATTTATCATATACATACTGAAATTCACTCAGTTTTCTTTATAAGACTAGACGCCTTACTGCGTGTACCCAGGCAGTCGTTATACTGAGAAGCACTAGCTATATTACAATTGAGCTAAATGTCCTGCATTTGAAGTCGTACGAAATTCAATCGAATCGATGTGCTCAAGCGATTCTGCCTGTGATTACATTTCTTGGAATCGATTAATAGCCTATTACTCGTTTGCAGGCCTTTAGGGCGTAAAATGAGTCAAGGACTTTATCTCAGCCTGTAAACGTTTCAGCCTATTTTCCTTAGCCTTTGTCGTTGTTGTTGTTTCACTTTTTCTTTTTTTTTTCGTTTCTCAAGCAAGCGAGTAATTTTAAACTTCACAGTTATAGTGGTGAAATATCAACCCCTAGTCAAACACGAGTCAAGCCAGTTTATTATTATTATTATTATTATTATTATTATTTTTATCCCTAAAAAAATGTAGATTGTAGGAAATACCTTTTCTAGTACTTAATTTCGTGGGTACTTAATTTCGCGATTCAAGCGTTCTCAACTTCATTTTATTTTTCAATAGTCTGAACTTTTAAAATTCCTAGATAAACTGGAACAAGCAAAACGTATTTTTTTTTTTTTTAAGGTAAACTGGAACAAGCAACAGGCATATTTGAAATTAACTTTTTACAACTTGGCCGTGATACACATTATCTCAGTTCATAGTTTTGTTATTTCACAACAGAGGATAAAAAATGGAACTAAAACCAGCTAATAATTTGTGTATTTGTCGATACAAATCTTGTATATGTTGTTGTTATCACAACAAAAAAAGGAGCGGGAATGTGGGATCAGGACCCCCCCTTTCCAGACCCTCGAGGTAGCGTGGCCGAATGGTCAGGGCGACGGACTTGAAATGTGGAGGTCGCGGGTTCAAGTTCGGCACTAACAACTAGGCTGAGTTGTTCCTTGGTAGACCCTTGTTCTACTCCTTGGTCATGCCTGTAAAAAGATATCTGTTCTGCCTGCGGCCAGTGGGAAATCTTTAAGCCTACTATGTTTATTTGAAATATATCTTTTTTTTCTTCCACCTTAAGTGACATACCTGAGAACTAGCTAGGTGTAAACGAGCTGCGTAAGACTAGCACGAACAATGCATTATCAAAAGTAACTACTTAATTGTCAATTTTTAAAGGCTCCTGCAAAAAGAAATAGCTTTTTGTACCTCAGTCTGATGAAAGAGCACAATATGGCAATCGTGACCTCGGGGTTTTCTCCGAGGCCTTTACTCTTAGCGATTTCTGCCAAGTGAAGGTTTTTAAGTTTTTCACAAAGTTGAACTGGTCTTTGTGTTCGTCGCTCACGGAACATTGAATTTCAGTTTGTGGATGCCCAAGGTTCTGACGCTAGAACTAGAAGTATCGTCGGTGACCGCAAGATAAAACGAGACCAAAACTCTTACTGTAGTAGAGCTGGCATCACTATTTGCCATATCCCGGGCAATCTAGCGGTTAAGTTGTTGAAAAATTCGCCCCAAGATTAGAATAAATGTGAACCTGTGAAAGGACTGAAGAGCTTGAGCAATTGAGTCAATTGTGCATCGAGTCAGTAACTGGTATGCTATTACACCACGTGCACTTTTCTGGCATCTCGTTTAAAGAAAATACCCTCTGACAGTTTCAATTAGATAACTATTAACCAGGCACACTGTGTAGTTTGGCTCGAAAGGAGACACCACTTAGCGCTCGCTTGGTTGATTCTCTTTGGCCGCTAGAACGTTTATTTGGGTCGTGACGATTTCCCGAATTCCCGACAGACAGGCAAAAAAAATCCCGCATCCCGTGCCCGAAATTTTCGCGAGTCCCACTTCCTGGGAGCAGTCAAATCCTGGGACCCGTCAAGATATTTATCGTTTTCCCGACTCCCACACCGTATTTTAATCAAATCCCGGATCCTGAAAATACCCTTCCAGACCCTCTACCTCCAGTTTAAATAGAAATTGAAAACGTCCGGCAGACTTTGTGCTAGTTATAAAAACCAATTACAATTTGCTCTCCCTTCAACAAATCACTTAATGTGTTTATTTTAGTGTTCAAGGCACATTTCATGTATGAGGAAAGACTTAGTGTTCAAATGAAGCAGTCAGGTTTTTTTTTTCGCGGCCCGGCGTCTATTAAGAGTCCCTGTCCATAAGAATGGAAAATAACTCGGCAGGGGTCCAGAATTCGATTTCGCTCATATTTTCATTGTAGATAGCCTAGGGCATGACAAAAACTACTGTTATTATTGCCTTTTACAGCAAATAAGGTTAGAACATTTCGAAATTATCAGCTCTGTGTCTATTTTAACTTATCATAGGTCAAGTCATGTGGCACATGCTAAAATATATGTCTAATCCGTAAATCGAAATTTGACGATGGTCAAATATTTGCATTTTTGACGTACTTTGAAAAGCACTCGCGTCGCTCACAATCATTTGCCCAAAGAAATTTTTACAGGAATCTGTAGACCATCCCTCTGCAATTCAAGCACCAGAAGTTTAATCCATTTGAAGGTTTCGCACATGGTGAAAATTAATTATATTCACGAAGTACTTTTAAGTTTATGAAATACATGTCTTTGAAATTTAATTATTTTGCACCTAAAAAGAAAACGCAACATTCCCTAAAATTATCCCACTACACATTTAAACATTGCACAAAACTATTTGAGTGTCTTAAAGACGGAAGAATGATGTGGTTTTGCATATGAGGCTCTCAAACGTGCTTAATAAAATGGTGCGTCAAATGACGATTTTAACGGAATTTGGTAATTTGGATATTTCTTTGAAATAAAAGAATATTTTGCCAAAAAAAACTATCCATAGTTTTCGTCATGCCCTAGCCTATCTACCATAAGAATATGAGCGAAATCAAGTTTTCGACCCTTGCGGCAAAATTAAGAATTTGTCTGATTTTTACAAGCAGGCACTCTTAAATACGAATATGTCTCAACATTTTAACACTCAAACCTATTTATTATGATAGGTGCTTAGAATAAACTGAGTTAAAGCAAAACGTAGCGAAATAATAATAATAATGATGATGAAGATAATAATAATAATATTACTAAATGTCCAGTCGCTATCAATTTTCAGTTATATAGCTGAACAGAATTTATAGACACACCCGAAAACCAATGAAGGAATCTGTGTTCGTTACCATTCAAGCAAACGTGAATGATTATTAATGTTGTTGAAACCCTCTACTGTTGATGATGATGACGCTGATGATGAAGACGATGATGATGATGATGATGATGATGATTATGACAATGATGATGATGATAATGATGATTTAGGTGAGGACGAGGAGGATGTTGATGATTATGTTGTCCTGTTGCAAATAGTCATGGAATTTACAAGAAAACACTGATTCGTCACCCTCACCTCGTCTCTCAGGTTTAAAGCGCCGCACTTGTATGGACATGGTAATGGACGCAATTTACATTTTTTTCGCACATGATCCTAAAAGTAAAAAGAAGTCAATATGTCTCAGTTCTCATAACATCACCTGCGTAAACAATTTTTGGTACAGTAGGTCAAAAGCATCTCATTTTTTTTTCCAGAAAACGGCAAAACCTTGCGTTCTTTCCCGCAGTGGAGTTGAATAACTGTACGTGTTTACTAAATTAAAAAAATATTGACGTACCAAAATATGGAGAGTTTCTTGTTTTTGTAAACTTCTCGATTTCGGATAGTTAACAAACATTTTCGCCCATATTCTAGCGATTTTCTTAGTGACTCTTATTTAGTTGGAAAAGCTATCTAACAAATCTGCTAAACCAGTAGCTTATTCTAATTTTTCCACATGAAGAAAAGGGTAAACCTTTAGATTGGAAGTAAAGAGCAAATGATATCCCGAGTTTGATGAGCCAATCAGGGCGCGAGAAAACCACTACATTATTTTGGAGAGTACTAAGACGAGTACTTCCGTATTTGCATACTGACAACATGTGATCATTTTCTTTTTTTTATTTTCCATTAGATTTAATTCATGATTTGTAGGAATGTACACAATAAACGCAAGCCAATGAGGAAGAACAGATCATGAAAAGTCCTTTATTAATAAAGATGCCAGTTTGAAGGTTTGTTAAGCGCGCGCTGACTGGTTTCAAGGTCACTCGGCTCAAACTGTATTTAGTTAACGTTTTACAATCTATTTAAGCAAAGCTTTCATCGGTTTACTGTTACCTCCATTTGACACATTGGGTGTGGCTCACTGCATAGTTCACACGGTACAATCCTCCACTGGCACGTGAAACTTACGTGTTCACCGAGTTCTTTCCGTTTCAATGTAACTTGACAGTTTTCGTTGGTGCAGGGAACATCTCTAAAAGGGCAGGATGCCAAGTGAGTCTGTCGGAAAACCAACATGCTCTGGTTAATATGGTTTACCTTCAATAGATCACTTATTCACCGTCTGTGTTATTTAAAACAAGTCAACCATCATTCATATGAAAAGTCATACGTCACAGCACGCCTTTGGCTACTCTGTACTTCGTGCGCACGTGTACGTACGCGCTTTTTTCGCATGCTGAAGATGGGCTAAGCCAGAAACGACTAGTTTACATTAACTATCTACTATCTACTATTTGACACTTTCAAGAGCTTTTGCAGCGTTATATTTGGATCATCTTGATGTCGACCTGAGTTGGGCGTTGAGGTCCAGGAGGGAGATTTATTGTTGGAATTTGATGGTGCTATTTCTCCTTCCACTGATATTAAACAAACAATCTGTACCTCTTTATATCTTAATTCACCAGTCCACCCGCAACCATCACTTGGACATTTTATGATCAACGATAGAATCTTCCGCTCCGTTGCTTTGTCTGGAAAGATATCCTAAAAGGGAACAGAACGTCTATGACTATTGAGAGATTGAATTGTACAATTTCACAAAGAACTCTGAATATTGTGCTTGATCGCCGAACGTAAGGAAGCATGCACATTGTGTAATCATTACGAATAATTACTTAAAGATTAATTAGCAATTATAATTACACAATTAGTAATTAAATATAACTAATTATCAAGAGAGTAATTATTTATGAATAAATTACTTGACTTTGAGATCTACCATCACTTATCCCGCGCCGATTTTATCAAAGGTTTCCGGCAATTTCTAAAGAACAAGTTTTGGCGGCAGAGTGCTCGGTCTATAAAAAGAGTTGAGAGAAGTTATAACCAAGGGTCTATGGTAATATAACCTGTTGAAAGGGTAGGGAATGGTCCTTCAAAACTTCTGGGTCTTGTAAAATTTTAGCCGAATTTCACGGACTCGCAGTTTCGTTTTTTAGCGGTTATGTGCGTAGTCACGATTTTTTCACAACTGTAATATTCTAGAGCCAATAAACCGGCCAAAACTCGAGAACGCAACTTTATGTTAATTCAAGCGACTGACAACGTGTTTCATTCAACTAAACTACTGAAAAGCTACTGGAGGAGCGGTTACACAGCTCACAACATTCTGCACTCCCCCACTAAGCCATGAAAACTAGGACTATAAATCAACGACAAAACTTAGGTTGCAGTTCTCAAGTGTCTCTGTCCTAATAACCTAAAAAGTCTCTTAGTAACAAAATCAGCCAAGTATCGAGGGGCGTGTCTGTTTCTAGTGGGCTCACGCTTCTCTGGAATGCCTTGCGTAGTTGATTGCACTGGAAAAGCTGGCTGCCTTGGGGTTTCTTCCCACTGCAATTCTGGCTGTTCAGCTGCCGGCGATGCTGGAATTGGGTCTGCTGGAACCTCTTGATCAGCAATAGGCGCTTGGGGAATGCAGGATCGCTGTATAAGGTGGTCTTGAAGACGTCTCAAGAGTCGGCCATCTTCTAGCTGAACTGCGAAGGAAGTTGGACCTGTTGACTCTTTCAAGATTCCAAGTAACCACCTTGGTCCTCTTCGGAAGTTGCTTGCGTAAACTGCTTCCCTCCCTGCATGGTGCGTTCCTTAGCGTACCAGTCATGTGCCTGTTTCTGAGAAGCTTGGCTTTGTCGCACTTTCCTTCCGATTTCAGGGTAGACTAAGTCTAGTCTTGAACTGGGTTTCCTTCCTAGAAGTAATTCTGCAGGGGACACTCCTGTTGAAGTCTGAAGGATGATTCTGTAACGAGCTAGAAATTCTGAAACTCGTGACTCCACACTTCCTCCACTCATCTTCTTCATTCCCTCCTTGAATGTTTGTACCGCTCTCTCAGCCAGTCCGTTAGACGCTGGGTGGTAGGGTGCTGTTCTTATGTGACGGATCCCGTTCTGTTTGAGTAAATCTCCAAACTCTTTGCTCGCGAAGTTGCTACCATTGTCTGTGACGGCAATTTTCGGTAGGCCGGGTGTCGCGAAAGCGATTCTCAATTTCTCAATGGTAGCACTTGAAGTTGACGTATTCATTAGAAACGCCTCCATCCACTTGGAGTTGGCATCCATCACAATGAGAAACAATTTTCCAAGGAACGGACCCGCATAGTCTAGGTGGAGTCGAACCCATGGTTTATGAGGCCATTCCCAGGGATGTAGAGGGGCTTCTGGTGGGGACTTCCTGTTTTCCTGGCAGGGATTGCACTGGTGAACCTTCTGCTCTAAGTCTGCATCCATTTTTGGCCACCACACATAACTTCTCGCCAACGCCTTCATACGGCAAATTTCAGGGTGTGTCTCGTGTAACTCTTCTACCACTCTTGCGCTTTCCTTAAGGGGGACCACTACGCGATTGCCCCACAGCAAACATTCATCTTGAACACTTAATTCATCTTTCCTAGTGAAGTAGGGCTTCAATGCTTCATCTGAGTTGTGATTAGGCCAACCATGCTGAACGAACTTGATTACTTGTGACAATATTGGATCGCATCTGGTTCCGGTTCTGATCTCATTCACACTCACTGGTGTTGAATTGGGGAGTTCCATTGCAAACACAGTTTCTGCAGGCAAAGGTGTAGTTGAAGGACTAACTGGCAAGGGTAGTCAGCTGAGGGCATCAGCATTGGCATGTTCTTGTCCTGGTTTGTATTTAATGGAGTAGTTGTATGCAGCTAGAGTCAAGGCCCAACGCTGAATTCTAGCTGCTTCCATAGGCGGTGTGGCCTTCTTCTCATTGAACAATGATTCCAATGGTTTGTGATCAGTCACCAGACTAAAATGTCTGCCGCAAATGTACTGGTGAAATTTCTTCACACCAAATACTAGGGAAAGGGCTTCTCTCTCAAGATTGGAATAATTTCTTTCTGCATTGGACAGTGTCCTTTTTAAGCATATACGATTGGATGTTCTGAGCCATCATCCATTCGATGCGAGAGAACAGCTTCCAAGCCATATTGTGATGCATCGCATGCCAAGTTTAACTTCTTCTGACTATTATAATGGACAAGGAGTCTAGAGGACTTCAGGAAATCCTTAGACTTCTGGAAAGCCTGCATCTGCTCTTTACCCCAATGCCAGCGGGTCTCTCTACGTAGTAAATCATGCAATGGAACCAANCTGGTTCCGGTTCTGAGCTCATTCACACTCGCTGGTGTTGACTTGAGGAGTTCCATTGCAAACACAGTTTCTGTAGGCAAAGGACTAACTGGCAAGGGTAGTAGGCTGAGGGCATCAGCATTGGCATGTTCTGGTCCTGGTTTGTACTCAATGGAGTAGTTGTATGCAACTAGAGTCAAGGCCCAACGCTGAATTCTAGCTGCTGCAATAGGCAGTGTGGCCTTCTTCTCATTAAACAATGATTCCAATGGTTTGTGATCAGTCACTAGACTAAAATATCTGCCGTAAATGTACTGGTAAAATGTCTTCACACCAAATACCAGGGAAAGTGCTTCTCTCTCAAGATTGGAATAATTTCTTTCTGCATTGGACAGTGTNGGGTAGTCGGCTGAGGGCATCAGTATTGGCATGTTCTGGTCCTGGTTTGTACTCAATGGAGTAGTTGTATGCAGCTAGAGTCAAGGCCCAACGCTGAATTCTAGCTGCTGCCATAGGAGGAGTGGCCTTCCTCTCATTGAACAATGATTCCAATGGTTTGTGATCAGTCAATAGACTAAAATGTCTGCCGTAAATGTACTGGTGAAATTTCTTCACACCAAATACCAGGAAAAGTGCTTCTCTCTCGAGATTGGAATAATTTCTTTCTGTATTGGACAGTGTCCTGGAAGCATATGCGATTGGGTGTTCTGAGCCATCATCCATTCAATGCGAGAGAACAGCTCCCAAGGTTAAGTTCTTCTGACTATCATAATGGACAACGAGTCTAGAGGACTTCAGGAAATCCTTAGACTTCTGGAAAGCCTGCATCTGCTCTTTACCCCAATGCCAGCGGGTCTCTTTACGTAGTAAATCATGCAATGGAGCCAACACGCTCGACAGGTTAGGCAGGAATTTCTGGTAGTAGTTAATCATGCCTTGGTACGATTTGAGTTCCGACACATTCTCGGGCGCTGGTGCATTGGTGATCGCTTCGACCTTGTCATCCAATGGTTGAATACCTTGTTTGCTGACCTTGTGACCCAGGTAGGTTACTTGAGGTTCCATGAACACACACTTGTTTTTCCGAGGTCGTAAGCCAGCACTTGCTAGTCGTTTCAAGACTTTTTCCAGGTTGTTTAAGTGATCTTCATCGCAGGCTCCGGACACTAGGATATCGTCCACCCGGACGATTACATAACGAATGTTCTGCAGTAGATTCTCCATGTTCCGCTGAAATATTCCTGGTGCTGACGATATCCCGTATGGTAGGCGGTTGTAGTGGAACAACCTCTTGTGTGTGTTAATGGTGGTGTACTGTTTAGATTCATCATCCAAAAGAAGCTGCTGGTAAGCTTGGCTCATGTCCAATTTTTCACCTCCACCTAGTGTCGCCAGGAGGTCTTCAACCTTCGGGATAGGATAACTGTCCAGTTTTGACACTTGATTGACAATTGTTTTGTAGTCTCCGCAGATGCGAATTAAGTCGTCTCTTTTCAGAATAGGTACAATGGGAGCAGCCCATTCCGAGAACTGAACCGGTTCAATGGCTCCCTCATCTTGTAGCCTCTTGAGTTCAGCCTCCATCTTCCCTGTCGTAGCATATGGCACTGGTCTCGCCTTCAAGAATTTTGGTTCTGCCTCTGATTCAACATGAATTTTCGCCTTTGGGCCCTTGAAGGTCCCAAGTCCTTCTCTAAACACTTCTGAGTACCGGTCAACCAATTTTTCAAGTGAAGACTCTTGCTTGTTTTTGACAACTTGCATTTTGAACAACTCCTTTTAATTGAGTGTCAGAACTCTCAACTAGTCCCTTCCCAGTAAGTTAGGCCCAGATCCTTCCACCACGAGTGTTTGCAGTTCCACTTCTTGTTTCTCATACCTCACAATAACATTCAAAGTTCCTATGACCTTGACTAATTCACCTGTGTACGTTCGGAGCTTCACTTTAGCAGTTTTCAATTGCTTTCGGTTCTTCACCAGATTCCCTGCAATAATTCTCTTGTAGGTTTCTTCGTTGATGATCGTA